GACTCAATAAACCGTTGCTGTGTCTAGTTTGAACACTCTGCAAGTTCCTTTAACCATCTGACGAAAACGCGGATCAACCCACTGACGATGCGATCATCAGCGCATCCACCCTTATCGACAGACCACTTAGAACTACCGCTCAAATAGCCCTGAAAGGTCATCAACACACCATAAGTTCCAACATTCCTCTCTCCCTGTAGCAACCCAGTCACCCACATATTTGACTGTTCAGCTCACAGTCGCTCACTGGATCGCGAGGCTTGCCTTTTTTCTCATACTCACAAACACGTCACATTAAGCTGACTCATCGGACATCGATTGTCTGCACCGCCTAGTCAGCGTAGCAACTAGTCATGTGCCGACGTGCCCACGTACACACACTGGAACCTGTATAAAGGGAAACCGAACCCAGTCAGGACACAGGATCGCGCGCGCGCATGGAGCAGAAAGTCAACCTCTCCACAAGTCCACGGACAAACATGGAACACGTATAGCAGTCGCACTGCGAAGAAAAACGCTTTCCCGCCGTCCGGGCTTTCACCAAGGGACTCCCACATACGATAAGTTCCCTTTTGACTCGCTCCCATTTTCGCACTGTATTTATTTTTATACGTGTTGCAACCAACTACTGTCAACCACAGTGAAGACCTTTATTAGTGCATATACTTCCTGATTTGTATATGGATATCGTCACCTGTGCACTAATAGACCCACTGGGCAAAACTAGTTCAAACAACACTCATAGAGGTACTACGTAAAACTAACTGATATTGTCAAACGTTGGGTACTATATTTGATTTCGATTGGGATTTTTCGATACAATAGTAAAACGACTGTTCTGGCGACCAGTTTTGTGATATCAGGCTATGCAACATTATACAAATATTCTGGTGACTGGCCTATAGTTGCTGGTAAATGAGATTGGCACCCCAGACTGTGTGTTATTTTAACACATAGTTCTCGAAGGTTCGTAATCTATCAACACCGGCTTGTTACTTTTGCGGGCCTCAGTGACTTGTGTCATCGACGCACGCTTACAACACTCCAACCTGTCAGTCAAATGATGGTGACTCAGCTCACCAGATTAACTGCATTTTTGTGAGTTCCAGACAAACCATTCGTATGGTGTAGTATCATATCTTTAACAGCGAGCCGAAACAGCTAGATCAGAAGAAGAGGGAAGCTTAAGCCTTACCAGGTGACTTTCCGAAATTCAGATCAGACAAATTATCACAAAGATTTTCTTCTTGAAGACTAGCCGTGAAAAGTTCTGAGCATATACTATTCTGTTTGACAGCACCAATATACATTTGGTACCAGAGCTGACCACAGTGCACGGCGCCGCATGCGGCCACTAAGCTGGATCTCCGAATGCACCGTACACCTGCAGAACCAAGCTATATAGGCAAGGCTGACCAGCTCGCCAAGCTATCCAACACCGACATTCAGAAGGAGATCAGCAGGAGGACTAGCAATGAAACTAGGCCAAATTCATGTGACTACTACATGAAGCTATCTTACCCTTCGCAACAGGAGACAGTTACTCGCCTGAAACATTCTGTACGTGGCATCTAACGGAGCAGTTGTTTATCTTTAGAGGGACCAATGCAAAGTGCCCATCAAAAAAGAGTTCCCTTGTTCGGGTGTCTAAGATTGAAATATATTTCAAGATAACACCGAAAATTGGTCATTTTAGAGATATCCGACAGAGGCAACTTTGCATGAGATCCAGCCTACACCGAGTCACTGTAAGTTCACTGAGATAAACTTTCTCCGTAGTCGAAATATTTTCAGTAGCTTGGTTGCATTGATCAGAATACGCTTACCTCCACCACTGAGCCTCACGTCATTGTACGATAAAAAATGTGGCCCTCCGACAAAAGAAGAAATAACCGAATTCATCGAGCGTTAATCAACAAATCTCCTGGTAAAGACAGCACCTTTGCAGATAGTCACACGGGCTCTGTTCCTGTAACCCTCCAGTATCTGTCTGTTGAATCTGGGATAGACAAGTGATTCCGTTTGTTTGTGGCACCTCTATTTTTCATCCTTTTCAAACGCGGTGAAAAATATAACTGTGAAGAAATCCGCGGCGCAACTTAACTGGATGTGGTTGTCACTGCACTATGACCAGCTCTGTTAACGAAAGACACTGACACACCAACTCAAACCAGACAGATTTTCTCCCACAAAAATTCTGCACAAACCAGCTCTTCACATTGCACCCTGTTCTGGAACAAGGCTAAAATATTCGTTGCTTTTTCCGCTGAGCTGGGCAATTTGATTGCCCGGTAAACGGACGCTAACGGAGCTACCAGCATTCTCCTCTATAACAACGCTGAAGATATCAACGGCCTCATTCATCGACTTTCAAAAGGGATCAAATGGTGCACCATGCTGCATCATGAAGCGGTGTCGATCACGAACTTTGGTTTTGCGGACGACGTTAACTTCGCTGTAGATCGCAACGATCGCAACGCGTCCTCAGCGGAATCTGCCAGCTTTCTTCTCCCGCAGCCTCCTCAAAAAGCGATGTCTTGTCCTCGTCTGCAATCAGCTCTGACCAATCATACATGATTATCGAGGCGGTGTGGGAATACGTGCGAGTCTAAATATCTTGGAGAAGCCATCCGCGATCCGCTTGAACAATGTTTGAACATTCAATTGAAAAAAGTTTGGAATCGATTGAGAAATCATCGTTTCAAAAGGACTTGATAAACTACCGACTGTTTACCAAGCCCTTCTGAAACGAAAAAAATGTTTGCACTGCTTTTTCGCAACTGAAGCGCCTACCGTAACACGTGGAAACAGTTACCTAAAGTCTGAAGATATCACTCCACATTCCTATCAGTGGATCTCACCGACGCGTGTGTATGACGCTTGCATAAGTGTGGCTGTCGAACACTGAAATTTATGCAAGATCCTCTGGAGTATAATCAAGGTGTTGTATCGAACCAACGGATTCGCTGCCCAACTCAATCAGCTTATCCACTCACGAGTCCGACGACTCAGACTCGTCCTTCGTCACTTACATACTGACCTAATTAGACCAGTTCTTGTTGCTGCAAGATTAGAGCTGTTATCAGGACGGTAAACCGAACCCTTGGATCGACAAATTTAGGTTTGATAATGAAAGCCTCTGGCTGTGTGCAACCTACGCCTAACTTGAGGTTGTGAAAGCTTGTTCAAACTCGGATTCCCAACGTCTCTTCGTTGGTAAAATAAGAGTGTGCATTTAAACAAATCGTAGAGTATGTGACCAGTACACGGAGAACCACCCGGTCGAAATTTACGCATGTGATTCATAGCCGGCGACCATTCACATTACTTTTGACTGACGGTGATTCTATCGGTGTGGATCCATATCTCGCTCGCTGATGAACCTTCAGTGTTCTTCTGGCTCGAAAGCTGTCTGACCCAGGATTCTAACTCCTGAATCACCCGTGATCATTCGTCCCCTGCGGTCTGTGTAGCGAGTTTTTTTACACCTGAGCTTGCATCCAAAATATATACCGATCTTTGATTCATCGATTTTTCTGCATCCATATATGTCAAACTCCCGCACCGTTCCCAAAGCGGTTGATGCTTCATTCCTCCTTAAGTAGGCATAAAGTACCGGAACCACTATTATGTGATTCATTCCATCATTGGAATTCAAGGTAGACAGAGGAGAGTGTCATCCAACTGGGATTGTACCGTGAAATCTTGACGTTTGGTACCGCTGGCTTCTCTGCTCACATGCGAATGATTTATGTTTAGTACCCTTAAATACAATGAGAAAGAATAAGCGGAACATGCACAACGGGTGCGCGGTTTGCTTTCCTGCTTTTAAGGTAATTATCTCCGTACTTGGCGTTAGCATTCTTGCTCTTCCACTTTTCTAGTCGTGCACTTATTCTTAGTATCTATGCACCCCAGTTTTTCATCTCCCTCAAATAATGGTAAAATATTACATTCAAAGCCATTTTTTGGCTTTTCAATCTTATTTGCAACGCCTGAATCCCGGACTCTGCAGTTGAAAGCTAGTCTGGATGTCAGCCTTAATAGAGAGATTTGGTGGCAAGTTGCAATCACTGGCATATCACCCAATCTTTCCGCTTGTCGGTCCCACCAAACAGGCCCAGTAAAACTGCCCCACTCATGTTTCATTTTGGCCCCTGTGTTAGTTTCTGTGGAGTCGAACAATCCTGTTTTTACTAGGTGGTTTGTGGGCGAATGAGCAAGCATCACAGGTGACCAATAGCAGTGATCTTTAAACCAAGCCTTTGATCGATCGATCACCCACAAACTATCGATATGGAACTAGGCACCTCGGCACTACACTTTTCAATGACAATGCACAATATTTGATCACATTTCTAGCACAGGTGATCATGTGATGAGCCCGTATCCATTGACTAACGTCTCACGTTGTCGTGAATCCAGGAGATAGCTAACGTAACTAAACGGCCGCAAGATAATTTTCAATTTTAAAAGTTTAGTAAACTCACTACTACGTCTCCCATCCCGTTTGATGGCTGCAAGGCAGATGGAAAGTTTTAGCCAGGGAGTTACTTTATGGGTTACTCAAGTAGCGTAAAAGGTGGTTTCCCTGGATCATAATAGTACCTTGGTAGGTCCTAAAGAACTCAACTGAAATGAGGTCTCCACGGTACACTTGGGAATTTTTGTTGCACTTATATCTACAGATATTCTTTGGGTTTGGGAATGAGCGATAAGTGTGTACTTGTAAACAGTTGGATCCTAACACAATTTGATGTATGGATGCCAGAAGGAATCGATCTGAAGACATCTTTAGTTAAATCTGAGTGCAATTGAACGAGATCTTAGAGAGTATGCTGAGTGGGACAAGGCTGTCGAACTGAATTAATGGCTGAAAATCTTTTATGGGGGACCGGTGTAAAGATATCTTATGTATTGTCTATATACATGTTATTCACAAAGTAAACGGATTTCGGTAACCAACCATTAGTTACCTTTTATTGTCTCCTTTGAACTAAATGGCTGTTTGTTTCATAAAGGAAACTACTCACAAAATTGCTGAAAACTCTTCGACAACCCACGACCGGTTTCGTCCTTCTTGGGGTTCATCAGGTAGGCGCAGTCTCCGAGTTTCCGTCAACTTTATGTTTTACTTGAACTCAAATTGAACCGTTTTCGAGAAGTACACTCATTTGCAAATCAATTTGGTTTTCACCAGAGAATCAACTGAACCTCTCGCTTATGATATTCTACAACTGAATGTGCTGCACACAGGCCGCCTCATGATTCAGTCGGCATGATATTCGAGATATCGCAGTATATTTTCATTTAGGAAACCAAATCCATTTGCAAACGAGTGTATTTCCCGAGTACATGGCTACTGTTTAGTACGTTGTACTGTTAGGGTCGGTAGTCTAGTTTGAATCCCCGGTTGACTTGTCCGAAAAAGTGCTTGCTTTTGACCGGAAAAACGTAAAAACGAAACAAACGCTTCGTCTAACCTCATTAATGATAGTACTCACATGTGGATTCAGTAACATGGATTTCGATCAGTTAACCACCAGCACTTATACATTGGTAAACAGTACATACGCTGGTACTTTACAAACTCATAAACACTTAGAACGTTGTAGTAACAAGTCAAATCCGGTAATACGTTTGTCGGTATTGTTTAGTTGCACTCAATTCACGATGGAAGGGGGCATATNATGTACTCTGCCGCTCTTCGTGGATGGGCAACCGGCCTTTGGTGGGAATATTCTTCACGGCTTCTAGTTATTCTGTATCCACTCGGATGTACTATTACAGAGCTTTTAAAACCATTATGATGCTTTTCGTAGCCTGCTCCGTTCATTACCAATCTCCGGTACATTCGTTACTGATCCACATAATGTCTGAGGAATCAAGATGTGTATATTACTTAAAATCCTGGGTTCATTGCTGCCCACTTAGGGAGTTAGTACTGAGAAAAATAATGTTTCTAGTAGATGCAAAACCGGATGGATCACTGCTGCTCACAAAATCACATAATTTGTCACTTGGTGCAAAGTAGCTGATGACAGAATGGGGCGATTGACCCATAGGAGCCAGAAAAGGTTCTAATCCTCTTCACAGAGAAAATACAATCATTATTCAGGACCTGCATATTCGAGTGAGATTTGGACCAAATATTCGTAAACTCTTCTGTGAATGTGAATGTTCAAGGCTGTGTTCTAACTGTTATCTAAGTCAACCATCAAAGTTAATTTTACCAGTACACTCGACAATATCAGCCACGTCTGTTGACCAAATCTATGGGAATAACAGATTGTGTCTCTATTCAGATAACTGATTATTTTCTTTGGGCGAATCACCGTTCTGTTGTCTCTGTGGCCCTCAAGTTTCCGCAAATTAAGGTCACAGTCCATGTATTCTGATCATTGTTTATTAGAGTACAAACATATTTTTGGTCCATTAGCACTTGGACCTACCAAGACAGTTGCTTCTATTCTTCGTCTCTCAGGGCCTACACACCATACTAATATACTACTTACTACGAGTTCAAATCTTAAAGGACTAAAAAAGGAAGAACCGTTTCCGCCTCTGGCGCAACAGTGCATTGTGAGTATCAGGGAAACTGAGACACAGTTTGGTGCAAGGAGTTAGATTTTTGACAGAACAGATCAAGTGAAAACTCGCTTGTAGTACAGAACCAACCAAGAATGGGGTCACTTGAGATAGCAACGTCCTTGCATCTTCAGAACGATAATCGGACATCGATGACGGATAACTAAAACCTTTTTGACTGTCATGTTTTGGACATTAACGACCTCTTCAAGAAGCTGTCCAGATTCCGGTCATTGAATCTCTTCTTCTTTAGCACTCGGTTAAAAATGACTGGTTTTGTAAAGTGAAAAACTTGCCAGGATTTCTCCCCTGGAATGCTGAACGGAGAGACAAGAAAGGCACCGTGAGATGCACTGAATTCACTCAGGAAAAGAGTGTTCTTGTTCGCTTTCCTGAGTAAAACTCTGCTCATCAAGATGAGTAGTGCTTTCATGCTCAGTTTTTCGGAAAACGTTTATTTGTTTGGGTAAATTCCGACAACTTAACAGAAAGGATTTCATCTTCCCTTATCAAAGAAAGCACACAGAGCTTATCTATAGCGAAAGGCCGAAAATCACCGCACACCTGTCCCATTGCATACTGAGAATCGTCAGCAAAGTATATCTCATAAGACTCTAGGGATTTTCAAACCCGCCACCTTCCGGCTACTAGTCTGAATACTTAGCCGGTCCTACTCCGAAGGCCTGTTAGCATTGCAGTCAGCTTTCGACTAGACAGAGTGCAACGCAAGTCAGGGGTCACGGGGTCAAACTCCTTTGAGTTACGCGAGATGCGCACTGCTAATGAAGAAACAGTTGTAAAATGCTTATCGGTTTGTCAGCGTAGATTGACTGCACTCTCAACTGAAAATTACCAAATCTCTATATTGTCATATTATATTATATATTATATATATATATTATATTATCATATTATCATCTTTATATTATCATCAGGCTGGATGTAGTTGAAGGAAATTTGGAGAGTCTGTTGCACATTTAACTGGAAAGTTTTGATGACGTAATTATTCGACCAGGGGTTGACTCTCGGTATGGTAACAAAAGATGGTTCAGATGATGCGCAAACCATTTTTCAAACTATCTATCACATGTGTGTGACATATCCTAGGTGGGATATGACGTAATTCCGTCAACTCTAGCATCACGTGACAATAATCTTGGAACACTCAAGTAGTTTGTACGAAATTACTTGAAAGAGGAGGGGTTTTGAATGACGTTGTTTGGTACTTTATCATCATCAGACGGGCTATAGTATCTTTGGGCAGGTCACACTGGACAGTAATTAAGAGTTACAAACTTATGTGGACACAGTGGCATTCGCTTTTACGGCACACCTGCTTTACGGTGCCTTGGAGTCAGCGTAAGTAAAGCTTACATTGTGGCTTGCGTTGAGCCACCTTTTTATTAGAGCCCAGCAACCTTTACCTAACAACAGTCAAGGTTTCGTGGAATCGAAGAGGCATGCGACGATGAAGTGCAGTCCCGCCATCTTAAAGTGCAATTTTTTTCGGGCATCGAGTCACGGAAAAAGCCACGAGTGTTACGAATGGTAACTTCCACGGGTAAAAGCGTCATACGCTTATACCTTTAAGTGATGCCACGAGTCAATAGGCGCCAGTCTAGATGTCCATGGCCAACTGAGTCTACTCCTTTAGATACTGCCACCGAAGAGTTTTCCTATTAAAACCACTTGATTTGTTTGCAGATTAGCTGGGAATTCTCCCCATTTCTGTAAAATTTCATGCCGAGTGTGTGACCAATGATCGCAAGCAGTTGTTAGTGACTTAAATACCTGTATTAGTTAGATTACTTTGGTATTGGGAAACATATTGAGGTAGACCCTAATCTAGCCTAAGTGAGCTACCCACCTGCCGCTCCAGAACTTTTGAAAATGCCGGTTTTTGACGCAATCAGTGTATCGCTTTTCATTCAGCCGGGTTGCCATTACCATACACTGCTTGACTAGGTGAACGCACTGCTAATGATTCATACATGCACGAAAATGGGCTTGAAGTTCTTACGGAAATCGAAACATACGTCTGATCATTTACCCTTTTCTTTCGGCTCAGCGGGAACCGTATATGAGCTTGCAATGCCAGCAGCACTAACGTCAAATTGTAGCATGCATAATCCTTTAATCTTTTTCCGTTTGTTGGGCTGTTCGATCGTAAGATAGGTTCCTTCTCCCTTCCCCCTTTCGTCTTTATTAATTTTTTTGAGTTGCAATATTGCAAGCAAGTGGTACGTGTCTTCTAAGATGAGACGGGATACGGCACTAGTAAGCGGTTGTTAGCTCGCCAGCCACTCGACAGCATACAATACTGTCAAGATTCCATTTACTCCTTTACCGGTCAGATCAAACAGGCGAAGGTGTGCTATGACAAACAAAAGGCGATTTGAGTGGACTGAGTAGAGCGGACAAGTTTGGAGAATAGGGACACTGAGAGAAACTGGTGGAATCACAATACACATTGTGGAGTTCTCTGAGACTAGAATATGCTCAAACGGTATCTCTCCGATTCAAAAACTACGCCGGGTTAGGTCCCTTTGGTTCAGCTCATTTTCAATTTCATATTTGTCGGAACTGGATTGTTCTCTTTATACTTCACGGTGTACATCCATCCTTAGTCATTAATAAGCTGAAATGAAAACTTGATGCTTAGGTAAATGCGTCAGAAAGTAGACGTTTTTGGCGGAATGCTACGCCAAAACTAGATTAGCACTCGCAACCAGGCGCCGCCAAGAAGAATTAGCCTAACCCTCACGCGATTGGCCAGAAGATCAGATCGGCATCAGGGCGAGCTTCTATTGGTCGAAGCTGTAGTCCCGTAGTTGAATGCCGTAGGTCACCTGTGCGCCCAACTTTCAAGAATGTTACCGTTGCCTCCGCTTTAAATACAATACGTTGTATATGTTTTCCGGCCTGCTTTTAGCATTCAGTGCGCCTTGTATGCCCTTGATGAGTATGCTGGAGACGCTAGCTTTGAAGGATCTGACTGAGAACTGAGGTGGCGCATTACGGCTATTACAATAAAACGAAGTTCAGGGATACGTTCCATGTAAACATGGAACGAGCTCTACCAACTGCTATACCTTGTAGCAACTTACACAAAGTGCTTTGTGTATTAGGCAGACGTCAGCATCTAGCTCATTGTAAAAGTCACATTGAATCCACTGGCAGCTGTCAGTCCATTAAATAGTGTGGAAAATCGACCGTAAAGTTCAGGTGCAAAATATGACGCCAAAAAAGCTATCTCGGTAGCCCAATCAACAGAACACCTGTTTGGTAAGCGCTAGGTAGGCAGTTCGTGTCCGCTCCCAGGCCGGTCATGTCAAATGTATTTTGCCCTCCAGTTTTACATGAAATTTCCAGTAAAAGCACTGGGACACCTGAACCTCCAATGAAATCCCAATGAAATTCAGAAATTTTCGCTAGGAAATTCAGTATTTTATGCGCGCAGTCCCCTCTTCCGATAACTCAGTGAACTTAGATGAGGAAACCAGGTCAAAAGTGCACCCTAATCTGAAGGCGCTGGAGGGATGCTGAATGACTAAATAGTGTTTTCGGAGGCCATGAACGCTCAGAGAGGATACGCATTCCTTCTTTTCGCCACAACGGTCGATCTGGCCGACGCGGTCCAAACTTCTGTAGAAACTGTAAGGAGGGGAAAGGGAGAAATCGGTTCTCTCATATCAATTATTTCCCAAACTGAACCAAGTAGATACTTGCTTTCCGATCCCTCCCCCCCAACAGTAGGCACTTTCCGTGCAGAGAAAATATGAAACGATCTCTCTAATTTCCGAAACCGAACATGTTGAATTTTGAACGAAAATCAGGTCTAGAAGACCGAGAAACAACAAGAGTAGCATTTGAAAATTCAAGTTCAGATTTGATTACAAAAGCATGCAATGTAATTGGAAACAGAAACGGTGTTCATGATGACAACGGTTCACACAGTCCGAAACATCTGCCTTCTTTGCCGTTTTTAAACAGCGATATTTGCAACCATGGACTGGCTTATGACAATACCTTCTGCATAACTTCCGTAGTCTGCAGTTGATTCGTTTCGACTTTGGATCGCAAGCACGCGGCGGAGGCGATTGATGGGAATCAACCGTTTGACTGACCAATAGCACAAGCAAACAACAGCAAACGATTGCCTAAAAAAGAACTGATATTGGTAGTTATAAAGCAAAGACCGATGTTGCTATTCATACCAAACCTAATGCCTTTATTATCCTTTGGGGATGAACCTTTTCTGAACACTTTTCAATGCTGGAAAGCCTCTATACAGTAGGGCTTTTGTTGCTTCCGAATTTTAGATGACGATCGATGACCCTAGCACCCATCCGAATGACAGCTTCACTACTCAAACACCTTTAATCATTTTTGAAGTTTTCTTCCTCTAAGCGAAGCAGATCTATGCTGAAAAGCCGAGAAGCACTGTACAGCTGTTTCATCCTCCTTGGGAATCTTTCTTTATCTAACACAACCCTCCGTCTTCCCTTTGGCTCCGCACCACTTGAAGGATTTGCGTGAGCCACCAAACTCCTTGCCTGATGGTACGGCTGGTGATTTCAAAGATATCCAGTGGCATCTTATTGGAGAAATGGAACAGGTAGCTCTGAGTGTCACTAGCATAGCTATTTTTACGTCTTGCCATGCTTCACCCATGTGTTTGTTACCAGTACTGTGTTGGTTAACTGCAGGCTGTGTTATTTCTCCAAAAATGATGACTTCGTCCTGACCTGTGAGAGTCCGAAGGAAAACGAACTGTCAGGTGTACCTGCACTATAGTGTAGCTGGAATAAAAAAATACCCCTTGAGAAGGAATTACAGTCCTGAATTGTGGCTCTCCACCGGTTCCTGGTAGCCCACATGATCCATTGGCAAGTGATAGTTAAGCGGTGTAAGCGTTTATGTTGAGAATTCGTACTGGTCAGCACACATCTGGAAGAGTCGTGTTCTCTGTGTGCAGAAAGGACTCATGACCAGACAGGTGCGAGACAAGCGATGATCTTGCCGATCAAATAGTACGACTTGGCCTCTACAGGAAAGAAATAATTATCAGGTTGATGGTTGTGTGAGTAGGTTAAGTAACTTTCAGTAGAGATTTCGTCGTGTCACTGAAGTCAATCTATGCTGAAGGGCCGAGAAAAACATTACAACTGCTTCATCCTTGTTGACAAACATCCCCGGTGTGCATCTCACAAAATTCGAAGAATTCTGAACCCGTGACCTTCCGGCCATTGGTTGAACACAACCATTCCGTCTCAAGCGGCTGAACAGCGGTGATTAGATTTCACTTGGACAGCGTATGGTGCCACTTATCCTTCGCTCACAAAAGTCAGATCACGTGCTAACTGGGTTTTCGAGTGACGAGTTGTCAGATGAAAGTAAAATGGTTTTCCTCTGAGCTAAGTATAGATTGATGGTTGTGTGGCCGGCTTCACTGAGAGAACGGAATCTCTACCGAGATCTCCCGAATATCCCCAAACGTGATTGAAGAATGAGGGGTACTATAAATAGTCTAATCTAGATTTAACCACGCAGCTGATCAGCCCTTCGTGTCCGAACGGATAAACCTTCAATCACTAGCCGGAGGTTAGCATGTTCGAATCAGTGGGGATGGAACAGTTTTTACAGTGCTTCTCGGTCTTTCAGCTTCAATGACAGGAGAAAATCCTTAAGTATCAAACATTCTGTTGGAGGGGACAGATGGAACAGTTTTACAGTGCTTCTCGGTCTTTCAGCTTCAATGACAGGAGAAAATCCTTAAGTATCAAGCATTCTGTTGGAGGGGACAACAGTACACTTCCCGTCAGGTTTAACTACGCTACGTTTGTTTACCACGGAAATAGAATTCAAAACTATGAAAGATATTCCTTCGTAACTTTGGCTGTTACGATATCTCTTCCTTCTTTGCATATCGTAGCAATGGCAAGCGAATTCATCTAGATCACACACATATATCACTACCGAATTTACTTTTTTTCTATTCGTGATCCTACTAGGAATGCTCTTCTGTTTACCTGACCCTGTGGATTCTTGTCAGTTAAGTAAGCTTCCTCATGATACCATGTTTCAAACGCGGAGATGGTCACCGGCCGACGACATAAGATGAGTATGCAATCCAACCTATAACTTGAACCTGTCGAGTCACTGGGATGTGAAAATTTGAAAAATTCTCACCTAGGTTTCCGAAGCCTCCAAAGTGGCTCTTATAACAGTCGGTGAGTGAAAGGATTACACGCACATTCTGAATGGGAACAGATTTTTGACTCAGTTGAATCTACAGGTTTTGACAGGCCATCTCTCCCGTAGTGATCTTCCTCATGCAACGCTGATCCCACTTCCAAGGCAGTCCACTTGTGATTACTTAGCTTTCCCGATTTCGGTACAGTGCTGAGGTCAACAAGGTCAGCCAGGTATAGTCATGTGATGTGAACAACTTCAACCGTGCAATCGACTGAAGCTTCACGGCATGAATCCACGCAGTTTTTGTTAGTACTTCCTACTGTTAATTCACTGCGAGTTCTTAGGCCACATTCTAATTGCACATGGCGTGTAGTGTGGCGAACGTAGTGAAGTTTGCTGGGGGGGGGGAATTTGATAAATCAATGAGGATTATCTTCAGCCTTGAGTCACCCGATTGGCTGTTTTCTAGTTGACCCATTAATTTTGTGGAAAGTGACCGAAGGAAGGATGACAAAAAAAAGAACCAAAGTTCTGACCGTTCCTATTATTGTATACGCGCTGGGATTGTCCATAAGTACAGGAGACCATCTTCACAGATGGGGCAATTTCAAGTGATACACTACTCAGTCAATAGACTCTGATTTAGTAGTGTTTCCTTGTCTAATGCAGGTAGTGACTGTTGTTCACTTAACTTGGTGGACTTCATAACACCCCGAACGTTCTCCATCATTCTGCACAAACCAGCAAGCTCTTGTTCCAAAGTATTT